TGGGTGCGGCAGCCTCAGAGCTGCCTGGGAAAGAGTGATCCTGGGAAAACAAGCTGCCACCAGCCTACAGCTGTGAAAATACCAACAAACACCTCCCTGAAGACAGCGTGCAAAAGTAGTGCTTCTCCTACCCGTCTGCCTGCAGCTGTAGAGCTTCCCTCTTGTTCTAGCTGCACTGGTCTAAACAGCCTCAACCAAGTTGCAGGAGAGCCCTGGAGCGCACACACGGACCAAAGCTCTGGCAGGGTCAGCCTTTCACCAGGGCGCTAGTGGAAAGGCAGCGTGGCTCAGCACAGCTCACCTCCTTGGCCAGTGCCTGCTACCTGCTGCAGAAGCTCGGGTGGAAGAGGAGGGAGGAAGGGTCAGAAGGTGTGGGCCTTGGGGTTCAGTTTCATGGTCAGGTCCACGTTGCGGTCTGGCTTCAGGGCATAGAAATGGAACATAGTGGCCATTTCCTTGGCCCCAGGGGAGCCACGTTTCTTATCTTCCTCTGGTGAGATCTGCAAAAAGAATTGGGGAAAAAAAAGTGTTGTCACAGGGCAGAGGCTGCTGGGGCCTCTCCCTTGGACCATGTAGGGAAGCCAAAGAGGGCTGCATTAGAGCAGCCTGCCACATTATTGCCACTGGTGAGGAGGGCTCTGCAAGGCATTTCGGTTGGGTTTGTGTAGAGGAAGCAGCAGCCCTGTAGTGGGAGGGCAAGGCAGGTGGACGTCTTCACCAGAGCATGCTGGTGGGAGGTGGGAGCAGAGCCCTGTCTCTTGGTTGGTGCTGACCCAGGAGTTCCTCCCCTGTCCACTCTTCCTCCAGGTCCAGCATAAGAAAGGGTGGTGGTGGAGAAATCATGCCACACTGATGCTCAGGAGCTTGTTCTGGGTCTGTCCTGAGCCAGCTGCCACCTGCAAAGCCACAGCCACTGGCAGGGCAGTGCCGCTGAGCACCCTCCAGCCCTGCCTGGCAGGGAACAGCCCAACCTGCTTGGGGCTAGCACCCAGCTCTGGCACACAGCTGGCCTGGGCACGGGCTCAGGCACGCAACCCACTCTTCCCCCATGGCCGAGGCCCAGAGCAGCTATGAGGGAGCCCTTCCCTGCACCGGGGTACGAGCCATGGCTGAGGGGGGTCTAGAATTATGGGCTTGGGGGATACAGGAGAGCCTGAGCAACCTAGGCTGCCCCTGGTACCCCAGCACCCACCCTCCCTGCCTGAATCAAAGGGTGAGCCACTGTGCTTCTGCACTATGCTGGGGCCCTGGGAAGAAGAGATCTGCTTACTTGTCCCTGGCAGAGCAGAACATGCACAGAGCATCGGAGGTGCTTTGTTTCTGCTGAAGTGTGCTTTGTTCTCAAAGCAGCGAGCCACCGCACCCCTCATCCATGTATTGGCTGCCGGAGGGGGAGCAGCACAGCCAAAGCATAAACAAAAAAAACCCCCAAACTCGTGGGGCATGGACACAGTGAGGCCCTTGGGAAGACCTGCTGAAGGGAGGGGCATGCAGCAAAGACCTGTTCTGTAGGTGCCCAGCCCCACTGCCCAGCCCTGGCTCTTCTGGAGACCTCCTGCTTTAGTCATCCCCCAGAGCCAGGCACAGACCTGCCTGGGTGCACGTGCAAACTCCACAAACATAAGTCATCTCAGTGACAATATCGACAAGGCAGTTTTAGTGCCAGTGTGTGCTCCAGCCACAAGCAGGGCAGCGGGACTAATCCTAGATACCAGCCTAGGTTGTACCAAACCTGTACACTGAGCTACGAGGCCCCTCCACCCTGGCAGCTCCTGACCTTGCTGCTGGGGCAGGACAGCACTCGTCGTGCCAGTGCTGTCCGTGCTCAGCCCCTGTACAGGGCCCCCCACTATTCCAGACCAACGGGAGAGGCCAGGCATGCTGCTCCTCGCTGCTGCCAGGCAGGGGTGCCCACCTGCAGCCAGCAGCAGCCCGGCCTGGGCAGGGACCTGCAGGGTGCCTAGCTGTTGGGAAGGCAACAGGATTGTTCTGCCACCACCTCAAGGAGAGCTGCAGAGCCCTGAGCCAGCTTCCCCCAGCCTCAAGAACATCACGTACACCAAGGGACAGTTCTTACCTTGCTGGCTTCCATGGTCTTGCCCGCCTGCTGGGAGAGGACAGTGGCGTACTCTGCCTCGTTGAGCTTGCCAGTGCTGAGCTCAATCACTTGGCCTGTGCGCTCCTCCGGCGACTTCAGCAGGCAAAGCATGACAGGCCCAATGTCCTCCGCTGCCATCCCATCTATGGGAGTGTCCCCCATGGGCAGTGCTGTATGGGTATGGGGGAGATTGACCCTGGTCAGAGTGCAGCCCAGCTCTGAGGAGGTACAGCTGGAGTTTTCAGCACCCAGCCTCTGAACACGAGGTGAGGAAGAGCCAAGAGCACCACGTCAGTGTGGCAAGCCACAAGAGCATCTGCAGGGCTGAGCTTTGTAGAGAGAGAGAGACCATGAGCAGCCAGAGCATCACTGTGACTCGCCTGGATCTGCAGCCCCACCTCTGACCTCTGGCATCCCAACTGCAGGGAGCTGGGGTGTCCAGAGACACCCTGGGATCTGCAGAGCAGCCCTCAGCACCAGAAACAGGACTGGGATATCACTTATTTCTTGCAGGCCACCAAACAGGTCTGAAGGACCGTGACGCAGCTGCAACTTGCTGTGGTCAAGCTGGCACAGGCCGCTTTTCCCCATCATTCTGCAGCCCTGGTGGTTTCACCACCCCTCAGTGAGCCTCTGCACCGTGGGAGCAGATGAAAACTACAGGACAGTGACCTGGAAAGTGAGAGGTCCTGTCTTACCCAGTACAAAAGTATCTCCTTGTGGGACCTTCTGTGGCTTGACGACGGAGAGGAAGTTCTCCAAGTAGAACGGCAGTCAGATGGTTGCGGTAGGAACACCGACTTTCTGGAAGTACTCCACCACACCTTTGCCATCAAAAGTGCAGCACTTCCAGCCAGCCCCTTGCCAGCTGCTTCACGTTCTCCAGGCCGCTGTACAAAACGTGGTGCAGACCGAGGCACTTTGACAGGTCAGCAAGCTGCTTTCCCTGGGTGAAGGGTGAAGCCAGCCATGAAGAGGGGAATGGCTCCCTTGGGACACATGGGGCTCTCATCATCCCCACACAACACCCTTCCCCTTCGTTGCACTGGGCAGGATCCAACACACACCAGCTGAGCAAGCCCCTCAGCATCTGGCACCCCGAGTCCTCAGCTGCAACCCGGGCTGAACAGACCCAGCAAGACCCATGAGTTGCCCAGGAGGAGCCGAGTCCTCTGCTTACAACCATCCTACATTAGAAAGACCACACACCCTCCAGCTTCAGTGCTAGCTCCTCCACCAAGCACACAAACACCAGCCCTAAAGATCTGCCAGGGCTAACATACCTGCCCTAACATATCTTTCGTTCACCGCCATCCAGGCATGGCGATTGTGCCACCTTGCAAAATCTGCCCCGGGGTGAACACTGCCCTTGGGGAAGGCCCTGGGATTTCTGATAGCATGGTACATTTTGGCCGCAAAGCTGGAATTACAGAGAACTACAGGACTGCAGGCAGAAACAGTCCTGGCTCAGCCCTGGGAAGGCTCTGTGGAGCCGAGTCTTCCCACTCCTGCTAGTCTGACTCCCAGGCGCTGCTCTCCACCATGCCAAGTCTCAAGGCATCTACCCAGTCCCTGGAGCACCTGGCTGTGAGGGAACAGGGAACAAGTTCTGGCTTTGCAAGAAGTGGGACCTGGTTTGTTTGCAAGGCCTTGGGACTTTTCTGGACTGGCCATTTGAACCATCAGGGCTGGCAAGGCTGCACTAGGAGCTGTCCCATGACCCCAGCCCCTCACATGGCTGTCCCTTGATCCCCCCCACAGGCCATTCTGCACATGGTCCCAGGTAAAGCAAGTACTGGTACTTGTGCGATTTCTTTCTCTGCTGCAGTGGTCCCAGAAGTTACAACAAAGGCTCTGTAAGCACCTGCCAATGCCAGCTCCAGTGATGGCTCATCGTCCTGATTCCACCTTCATGACCTCAGCTCCCCTCTGCTTCAGCTCCTCGGCCTCTCTCTTCATGGGGCTCCGTGTCACTGCGCAAACCTTGAAGGTCCCATCTTCTAGCAGAGCCTGGGCCACGTAAGCCCCCTAAGCAGCTGCAGGTGTGGAGCTGTTCAGAGCCCCGGCTTCCCACAGGGCTCTGCTTGTACAGGGAGCTGGGATGAGCTGGAACTGTGAGATGGAGCTGCCTGGCCCCATGCTCTCCCTTGTGACACCAGGACCGAGTCCCTTCAACCCATCATCCTCCCAGCCCCACCACCTGTTCCCTGCGCTGCTGCTCCAGCCAGGCAGGTGCTTTCCAGACCCCCTGAACCTCCACAAGGCCGCAGAGCCCAGGGGTTCTGGAAGCTATCGATACCCCTGCCTTTTGCTGCGGGGGTCCGAAGCACC